AATCGACAAAGTGGAGAGACAACCCCCAGAATAGGAGATTGAGAATTACTAATCTGACAAGGGATTAATAACCAGAATGCATAAGGAGCTCAAAAAACTCCATAGGGAAAAAAATCTGATAATTTGATTAAAAATGGGCAAAAGATTTGCGTAGACACTTATGAAAAGAAGACATACAAATGGTAGGCAGGCATATGAAAAGATGTTCAGCATCATGAAACGACAGAGAAATTCAAATCAAAGCAGTGAATTATCGTCTCACCCCAGGTAAAATGGCTTCTACCCAAAAGACAGGCAATAACAAACACTGGTGAGAAAAAGGAACCCTCGTACACTGTTGGTGGGAATGTAAATTAGTACAACCGCTATGAAGAACAGTTTGCAGATCCCTCAAAAAACTAAGGTGGAGCTGCAGTATTATGCAGCAATCCTACTGCTGGTTATATACCCAAAAGACAGGAATGTAATATATTAAAGATATGTCTGCACTCCCGTATTTGCTGCAGCACTGTTCACGGCATCTAAGATTTGATGTATCCATCAACATATGAATGGATAAAGAAAATGTATTATATATACACAGTGGAGTACTATTCAGTCACAAAAATGAATGAGATTCTGTCATTTGCAGCAACGTGGATAGAACTGGAAATCATTATGTTAAGTGAAATTAAGCAGGGCACAGAAAGACAAACATGGCATATTCTCACTTATTTGTGGGATCTAAAAATCAAAACAATGAAACTCATGGACATAGAAAGTAGGAGGTTGGTTACTAGAGGATGGGGAGGGTAGTTGTGGGGTCGGAGGAGAGGTGGCAATAGTTATAAAAAATAGAAGGAATGAATCTGACTATTTGATCATACAACAGAGTGACTATAGTCAATAAAACTTAATTGTACATTTTAAAATAATTAAAAGCATGTAATTGGATTGTTTGTAGCACAAAGGTTCAATGCTTGAGGGGATGGATACCCCATTGTCCATGATGTGATTATTGTACATGGTGAAGTATTGAAATGTGAGAGGTATTGAAATGCGAGATTAAAATATTACCACCAAGATAAAAGTATGCCAGATTACAGGGTCTTTATTATGCCGGCGGCCACAGAGGACTCACATCTCTCCAACCTGTGGCCCCCAGCTCAGGGGGAGCTGGGCTTTTAAGCTGAAAAACCACATCCTGGTTTCAGGAACAAAAGGGTGGGGGGATGCAGGGCAAGTACCTTTACAGAAGCTTATTCTGGCAAAGGCCAGCAATTCTGGCTGTTACTGATGAGAGAAGGCAAGCAGTTTTACATAGTGGGCATTTCCAGAGCAAGCTAGCAGCTTTATTTACAGAAGCCAAAGTCAGCAGTTATTGCAAGGAGAATGGGGCAGTCGTTACAACTTACTTTTTGGAAACACAGCTTTGTCTTATAAAAATGGCGTTGTTCAGGTTCTGGCTCTAGGTCAGCACAATGGCATCTCTGTATTAAAATACCTTACATACTCCATAAATAAATATATCCAGTATGTACCCACAAAAATTGAAAATAAAAGAACTGTGGACATTAAAATAAGAATAGGGTCAGTGGGTCAGTCTACTTCTGGTGTGAAGTAAGTTCTGGGGAGATGTGGCCTGAATTGATGAAGAATAAATGAACTGGAAATCTGGATGAGGAAAGCAAGCATCAACATCTTCTGCCATCAGTTCAGACTGATTAGGGAAGGGAGGTGTGGAGGTGAGATAGCTCCCCACCTTGTTGCGTGGGATCCTTCTAAAAGTGTCGGTGAGGTGGCGGCAGAGGGGCTGTCAAACAGACTCAAGGCAGGGATGAGAGCCCTCTGTGCAGGAGGAGTGGATGCAGGACCTTCCTGGAAACACCAGAAAGATGAGAGACCTTAGTCGGGTTCTGATACCTGCCACCTCAGTTCACGGGGCAAGGAGATGGGGTAGAGAATTCATCTGTGAGCTATCCAGAGATGTGTTTATCCAGAGCTGTGTTTATTGACATATTCTTTCATGTTTTTATTGAGAGTTGATGTCACATACATATTTATGCATGACTGTTTTATGTTAAAGTATTTTTGTATTTTAGTTAACCTATATCACTGTTGAATGCAGTTGTCATTAGGCATAAACTTGCATGTTCATTGAAGTTTTTGCTTTCATTTTAATCAAATTTACAATTGTCCATAATGGAAAGAGCCAAATATTTGCATAGGATTGCTTGAGAAAAATAAGTGCCTTCTTTGCTTCTTATCAATTTCTGCTTTTCTAGGGAGCAACCGCTTTCTTAGCTGATTTTTTTGACTTGACCTCCATATCTCTAAGTACCATTTGTTTATTAATACTGTGTGTTTTTGTTTTTGTGTTTTCAGTTGCAGCCATTGTTGCACAGCGCAGTGGTGGGCGGATGCAGTAGTTAGAGCACTTGTTCCCTTTAACCCTTCCCATTCCTTCCTCTTCCCAGTATATTATATGGTAATTATGTTTGGTTCAGTCATTCCTTGTTTCCGTTTCCATGACTAATACTCTCATGTCAACTTTAACACTTTTCCTTTCTGGCACATTTGTTCTTCCAGGAGTTAATATTTGCCTTGTTTTTGTTTATTTTCTAGATAACTCTCATTAATTTAACTTTGGTACCTCTTCTGTTTGTATGACTCTTTTAATAAGTTAGAAACTTTGGGCATTCTATTAATTTTACTTTCTTGCAAGTATAATTCCTGGGCCTTTCTGGTATTCTCCCATCTGAAATGGAGGCTTCTACCTATGAGCAGAGCCACCATCCTAGGATCTCCCTCCACCACCATCTGGGACAGTGCTTCCACATGAAGTGGAGCCACTTGGGATCCTGCCAAAATTCAAACTGATTCAAGATGTCAAGGCTGGGCCTTTGAATCTTTCTGTCTTGCTTCATGAGATGCTGAATCTGCTGGTTGATGGATGACAGCAAGGATCTCTCATGGTTTTCTGTATCACTTTCTTCATGGTAAGTATATTTTTAATGAATTTATGTGCTTTTTTCCTCAATTAGTAACAGGGCTTTTTTTTTTTTTATTGAGCCAGAAAACATATTACATAAAATTTGGTGTCAACTGTTTTGAAGTGTGCAGTGCTGTAGTGTTATCTGTAAGCACAGTGTTGTGCCACAGATCCCGATAACTTTTCATCTTACAAAACTGAAACTCTATGCTCATTGAACAAAAACTCCTCATTAATCCCCATTCCCCCCACCCAGCCCTTGGCAATCACCATATTACTTTCAGGTTCTAAGGGTTCAGACACCTCGTCTAAATGGAATTGTGCAGCATTGGAGCTTCTTTGTGATTGGCTTATTTCACTTAGCCATGAACTCCAGGTTCATCCATAGTGCAGAGTAGAACAGGATTTCCTTTTTTTAGGATGAATAATATTCCATTGTCTGCATGTACCACATTTTTTTGATCAATTCATCTGTTAAGTGATGCTTTGGTTGCCTCTATTTCATGGCTGTTGTGGATAATGCTGCTACGGACATGGGTGTGCAGATGTCTTTTTCTGTACCTTCCCTCATTTTGGTGGAATTGGTCTTTCAGTAGCTACTTCTGACAGCACATATTTAAAGTAAGTTTGTATGTTTCAATGTTGTCCATTATTGTTTTGCTCCTCTCCAGGAAGAGGATAGGAGTGCATGAGGGCACCCTTTGGCACAGCATTTTATAGGGAAGAAAGAGATAGTATAACTGACCAGTGCTGGGTCTGGACATTCTGCAATTTCAGAACTAATGTGGATACAAAATAATTTTTTTAAAAAAAGTCCTTCCCAGAAGGGGGAGTCACCCCCAAATATGGTGGACCTGGGACAGCAGACTCCCCTGCCAGGCCTCTTCCATGGGGGCCCTTTTTGCAGTGACTGGAGTTTCTTCCCATTTTACTCTAACCAGTGTCTTGACTCAAGGGACAAGGTGTGTCTGCAGCTGTGCCCACGCTTGGCGGAAGCCTCAGTGATGTCAGTACATTATAAATATTTGCTTATTATGGGTTATTTTATTACTTATGAGGTATGTATTTTGATTTCATTTTACTGGCAATACAATAAACCAAGATGTGGTGAACCTAACAATCACATCCACTTTTCTGGGTCAAAAAGGCCTGCCTGGTCAAAAAGACCTGTCTGAGAAAAAGACAGTCCTTGCAGCCATAAAAAAGAATGAGTTCGTGTCCTTTGCAGGGACATGGATAAAGCTGGGAGCCATCATTCTCAGCAAACTAACACAGGAACAGAAAACCAAACACTGCATGTTCTTACTCATACATGGGGGTTGAACAATGAGAACACTTGGACCCAGGGAAAGGAGCATCATACACTGGGGAGGGAGAGCATTAATAGGTGAGCAAACCACCATGACACATGGATACCTATGTAACAGACCTGCATGTTCTGCACATGTATCCCCGAACTTAAAGTTAAAAAAAAAAAAAAGAAAACACAGTCCTTGTTAGATTGAGGATTCAGGAAGAACCAGATGGGCTGGGCAGGAGGGTTTTTACTTGGAACCTGGAAAATGAGTAATGACATCCTCTTCCATCCTGCAGCTCAGCCCCAGCATCCACCTCCTGGGTGCAGGAGCAGCACAATGGCGCCACCTGGTGACCGGTGCTCTTCCTTTTCCAAATCAAGCACAGCCCTGAAATCCACCTGTCCCTCCTGTGTGCCTGGGATTTCAGAGTCAGCTTTCCTGTAAAGCAGAAAAAGCACGAGGTTAAACCATTTTAGGGGAGGAATAGTATAATCTCCACCTCTGGAGAGATCCCTGTCACTGTGTTCAGGGAAAGGGCCAAGCCCCACTACCCAAGCAGAGAGGAGGCTTTGGCCACAGTGGCACCTGTGGAGAGCTGAGGACCTGTGTCTTCTACACTGATGGCCAAAGCCTGCAGACTGGGTGATGGCTTCCCCTCAGCTGTGTCCTATCAGGTTCACCTAGGCCTCAAGGAATAGACCACGCTCACTGCCTCCAGTGGTGTTGAAACGGTTACATTGTATGGCGTAAATATCCACACTTGTTGTCCCGTGCCAAGATGGTTAATGACAAGGACACACACGTGGAGCAGGTTAAGGAGCGGAGCGTTTAATAGACAAAGAAGAGAGAGAAACCTTATAATACAGAGAAAACAGGTTGCCCCAAGAGGGTTTCAGAG